TATTGCTGGTGAAGATTCATACCAAATGTACAAAAACACACAAAAATGCACATGCCTATACATGTCTAAATGCGTGATATCGAGCAGAAGGGTCAAGATCTTGTGCCAGAAGATCTCACAAGATGAAACTGCCTCTGGGTTTTGCACTCATGAGGAAAATTATCTTGTGAAATTATATTACCCTGAAATTACAAAAAAAAAAAAAAAAGACATGGTGAGTTAGCGATTTCTGAAGCTCTATTTCCAAAAACTGATACCACAATGACCACTATTACATAAAATAAAGAATAATAATAAACACATAAATAAATAAATAATAGTGAACATTATTTATGTATTATGAATTATGTAAAAATCTCATCTTCTTCTTGTTGACTCTATCTTGTGGTATGCGCTGTCCCACCCCTAGAAAAGATACAGTTAAAGGTGCATTGTGTAACTTTTCTGGTGGAGGATTTGTCACCTGCCTGTTTCTATGGAGATGTCATTGCTCTGCCTGAAATGTTCCACAGTGTGACATTAAACAGCTCTACCTCACATTTATTCAATTACAGATGGTTTTATAACTCAAAGATACCTAGAAAAACCGAGACTTTGACAGTGAGTGGGGTTGCCTCTCCACAGATCTGACCTGTAACTTGGTCTGTTCCTGGACTTGGACTCCATGAATATAGAACTGTTTAATGCCATACCGTGAGACATTCCAGACAAAACGATAACATCTCCACGGAGAAAAGTATTTGATGGACTGTCAATCTGAAAAGTTACACAATCCACTTTTAAGATATAAAAACACTTTATCCAGGTTTTGTGTGTTGTAGTGACAGCTTTACTACAACTACCACCTTTGAAACTTCTTGATCAGATTCATGTGAACTCTTTGGGGCTGAGGCGTGTCGTGTTTAACACATGGAGCAATAGACCAAAGCATCCACCACAGTATTAAAGTTGCATTGTGAAACTTTTCTGGTGGAAGGTCTGTCAAATCCTTTCCTCCGTGGAAATGTTACTGTTTTCTCTGGACTGTTTCACGGTATGGTATTAAACCTTCCTGTTTTCATGGAGAACAAACCAGACCAAGTTACAGGTCAGATCTGTGGAGAGGCAACCCCACTCACAGTCAGAATGCTTTTAGTTTTTCTAGGTATTTTTGAGCTATAAAACCAACTGTATTTGAATAAATGTAAAGTAGAGCTGTTTAATGGCATACTGTGGAACATTCCAGGCAGAGCAATGACGTATCTATAGAAACAAGCAGGTGATGGACCCTTCACGAGAAAAGTTACACAGTGCACCTTCAACAGAACAAATCCAAACTCAAAAAGGTGTTGGGAAAATATGCTTCAGCTGCCTATACCAAGACAGATGAAGTGTTTAGTTTGTAGGAATGGGCATTCGATAAAATTTTCTTTATCGATAGTTGGGAGAATTAACCATCAATTTTCGATTAATCATTAATGTTTTTATATTGCTATTACTAATCTGAGCCATGTGGTTTTAAGTTTTGTTTCTGTAAAATGTAAACAAATGTGTCAAAGCTGCATTAAACACATTATAATCTCAAACGAGCTGATGTGGCTCTAGAGTGCTGTTGTAAAGTTGATTTTATTTATGCATTTCATAAACTATAACATTCAGTTTGTCGATTAAAAATGAACGTGATCGATGAAATTCTTAATGATCAATTATCGATTAGTCGACTAATCATGCCCATCCTTATTAGTTTGTAAAGAAAGTAAACCTACACTACCAGTTAAAATGTTTGGACTCACCTTCTTAATCAGTGTTTTTTTTTTTTTTCTATGTTTGCTACTTTCTACATTTGATACAGAAGGCATCAAATATATAAAAGGAAGATGTATGAAATTGTGTAAATAAATAAATAAACCTAAAAAACTTAAAACCTGCCAAACCTAAAAAAAAAAACATGCACCAGGGACAGTTCTCGTGCTACAACCTGGTACAATGCCTCTCTCCTGTCGAGGTTAATGTATGTCCCTGTCTCTAAAACTAAATAATAAATACATAAATATATAAATAAATACAAATGTGCCACCTTTTGCTTTGTTGAAAAATATTAAGTACAGAAATGTAACTTTTAACCTTTCTCTTTACTAAATAATTCCATATATCTTGCTTCATATATTTGATGTCTAAAATGTAGAAATGGGCAGAAGTTTGAACTCAACCTCTCATTCAGTGTTTTTTTTTTTTTTAATAATTTCACTGGTATTGTATGTTTTCTCACGTGGGCAACATGCCACGTCAAAAATGGATCAGTGGGATTGATGCATCTTTAGAAAACATACACAAGTCACTGATCTAGTATTTATTTTGTCCGTTTGAGTGAAGCCAGTGTTGACCCAGTTTCAGTCTTTAAGCTGTAATGTAAACTGTAATATGATAACCCCTTCACACAGATCTATATGATGAGTCTTTCCCCGCTCTGGGCCTGACTTTGGTCCGTTTCCTGATTTGAGCTGAAGAATGCCCCGTTCTCCCTTCCTGCCTCTGACATAATCCAACCTCTTCTGCCCTTTGTCAAGCTCTTTAAATCTTAAAGCAACACTGTCTAAATTTCTGGGGATTTCTGGGAGACGCAAACCAACACATAATAAGGATGCAGGTTTTTATTTAAAGCCGCAATATGTAACTTTTTGTCAAGAAATAGACTAAAATAAAAGCATGATTTATTTTTTTCATTATGGGTTTTTATTGCAGTGAAAAACATAGATAAACATGTGTCCGTACACTGAGCAGGCTTGCATCTCCACAAACCTGACTCGTATGTGGCCTGGTTTTTACATTATAGAATAAGACTTACCTATCTTCATGGAGAATGTTCCTCAGTATGGCTTTACATTTCTTTTTTCATGGAATCATGCAGTTGACTTTCCACTTCCGCGAGTTGCATATTATTATTTCAATTTCAGTGCAACAAAAACATCATAGAAAAACCAACGAACATGTTTTTAATTTAGCTTTCTCGGGGGGATAAAAAGTTACACATTGAGGCTTTAATGGCAAATCTCTTCAGTACAAGTCACCAAACAAAAAATACATTTAACTCGCTCTTTCTGATTCTGATGTTTGACACACTTTAAAGAGCAGCAAATAATGGTTAACTGTGTTTGGGATTCAAAAAATATGCCCTGTGTGGAGAAGTGAGTAAATCCCAAAATATTACATTTAGGATACCTTCATAATCACTGTATTTAGGCTTGTCATGATAACACATTTTGAAGTACCATATATTTCTGAAGTAAATATCAAAGATAAACGATAATACTGAAACACATTTATGTGATTGACACAATGATACTAAAGTAGGATTATCCCAAAACAAAGTAAAAGTAGTAAACAACTGTACTTAAGTATACATTTTAGATATTTGTACTTTACTTAAGCAGATTTTTACAGTGGATACTTTTTGCGTTTACATCACTACATTTGAAAGCAGGTGTCTGTACTTTCTACTCCACTACATTTCATTGTTTTGTTTGAGACCGGCTGAAAAGGCTGAGGGGGTTGTTTAACCTGTTCATAGTTTGAGGAAACAAAATATGCAAATAAAAACAGGTAGAACAAAAATAAAGTTTCTATTGAACAAAATTCAACACAAAACTTGTACCATATTTTTCGCACTATAAGTTGCTCCGGAGTATAAGTCGCACCAGCCAAAAAAATGAAAAGAGAAGAAAAAACATATATAAGTCGCACTTTTTGGGGGAAATTTATTTTATAAAATCAGAGACCAGGAACCAACATCATTTTGAAAGGCAAGTTACAGTAATAACAATAGAATAGAGAACAATGGGCTGGTAACGTCACATATGACCATTTATTCAGATAACTATAGTATAGTTAACAACATGAACTCTCCATCTCACTCCATATCACTAAATCCATTGAATTCTTGGTGTCACTTCTGAGCAACTCTGTGACCGCCGCTTCCCCTTCTGTGTAGCTGTCTTCAGACTCAGCATCAGTTCCAGTTAGAATTATTCTGGCCTTTCTGAATCCCGACAGGATGGTTTCGGTGTCACTGAAGTCCAGACTTTGTTGATCCTTCCAGTGACTTCCAGGAAAGTTGCATGGCACGTCCTCCTGGTTGCCGTGAAGCAGTGTTCTCCATCCCCACTTTCTGCCAGTTCCTCACAAGTTTCTCGCCAAGTTCAAACTTTCTTTCTGCTGCTCAATTACCGTTTTCGGCTGCAGATTTCACTATTTGCAGCAAGACAACAGCTCCTTCTGCAGGAAACCTACACATTAAAGGACGAAGTGACAGTCGAACAGAATAGGAGCAGCAGAAACTGGCACACAAGCCTAGAGCCCCCTCTTGTGGCTGTCAGAGTGAAAATTTTAATATATAAGTTGCACCGGAGTATAAGTTGCAGGACCACCCAAACCATGAAAAAAGTGTGACTTATAGTCCAAAAAATACAGTACTGTTCTGATACAGCTCAAGATTGTTCTAAAGCTATTTAGGAAAGATTAATTTCTGTCCTGTGAATGTGACTTTTTTAGTATCAATACTTTAAATTTGATATTAGTTTTAGTGTCAAAATATCAGATTTTCGATACTTTTGACAACCTGTTCATTCAGAATGCTTTTTCAAATTGATTGAGATTAATCTTGTAGCCCCTAGTATTCTGGCATGTCTGCAGCTCAAGTTTTGAAATTTCACGGTGTGTATTTCTCTCTCATAAATCATAATTACTTCACCACATTTTCCAGTACTAAATATTTGGAACTAATGGCTCATGAATGCGTTGCTTATTTGTGAATAGCCTGGAGCTGACAAGTGCCCTAGTTGTTCCTCCCTCTGATACAGAAATAAAACTGTTGTACGGTAAGATTTGCTCATGTGTGATAATAATTTATGTCATCTGTTTCAATTCCTATCAAAGAAAGTTCCTAGTATATCTTATTATAATAGAAAACACTGTGAAATTCAAATTAAACAAATAAAACAACCTTGAAATCTGATGTTTCCCAGGTGCCTTTGATCCCAACATACCTGAAGAGGGACCGTCAGCGCCCCCTCCTGGCTGGCTGGATGTCATTCATGGATACCAGGGTTACAAAGGAGGTATTATACTCATTCATATTCTCTATGCTCTATTCCAGCTTTCACATTTTCATGCTGAATATAATCCTTCATTCTGTTTATCAGATGACAACCCTCTGTACCCTCCGCCTCCTGCCTATAACCCTCAGCCCGAGCAAGACCGAAATACACTGGTGCCCAATGTCCGGTAAGGAAAATAAAGCCACGTGAAGTCTATGTATTGTGTATTCTGTGTTATTTTATGTTACTTATAATGGGTATTACAACATCTGTTTCTCTTCAAAGTTCACATTTTAACTGAATCAACGAAAATACACAAATGCAAAAGAACAAACAGACAAATTAATACGCGATTATATGTGTTTTTGAGCATGTTTTTACAGATCTATACTACACGTTTAGCAGCCAAACCAATCCAATTTCTATAGCAAGGAATAGACTTGATACTCAATACTGATTCTGATACCACAATGATAATAAAAACACTCTTTATTTAGACAATAGAATGTGATTTTCATCTTAAAATTGTAGTACTTTCTTTTTATATTACCATTTGATCTTATATTGTCCAAGTAGGTTACATAGAGGTCCATACTAGTCTATGTGCTCTTATAGGTTGGACAGTATCCAAATTTTGATACCGTTAAACCTTCTCAGGATTTTATCGGGGTATACAGTATTACCATATTACCAAATGTTTTAGTACGACTTTGGTAAACTATGAAGCCACACCGCTATATGGTCTACGCATATGACCTGCAGACTTATAATCTCTGAAATTTTTCACATGAACCATCTCCAACATGATACATGCACAGAACAGACTCACCATCAGTCGCACATCTTCTGTCACAGAGAGATCACTCATATTCCACTGAGTCGTGTCCTTTAGTCTGACAGAAGCTGAACCGCATCAGCGCACAAGGAAAGAGCTGTTTTTATCAGCGCTTTATAGTTTATTCAAATGAGCATGTGGTTTTAAGTTTTGTTTCTGTAAAACGTAAACAAATGTGCGCCTGAAGCCAAAATGCTGCCAAATTGCAAAAATACTAGTGTTTTTTTTTTTTTGTTTTTTTTTTGGGACCAACTCATTTGCAGCCAGACTTGCCATCTTGTCTTGGTCTCCCTTAATGAAACTAATCGAACGTCATCTCCCCATGCATTTAAAAGAAACATGATAGACACTATTAGTTTTAAATCATGATGGCATTACATTGAAAATACAACCACACATTAATTTGTGCTGAGCAAACAAATTTAGGTATTGAATGAATTATAAAATTATAATTAGAGCCCGACCGATATATCGGCTGGCCGATATGCTCGCTGATATGGGCCGATATTTCACGTGGGCATGTTATACCTCGTTATAAAGCTTAGACTCTCTACATTATGTTCATTTAATCCAATTTACACACAGATAAATGTCCTCATATGTGGCTCCGCATCAGTATTTATCTGCGGTTTAATTTGTCTGTGTCTGTGTCCGTACTGTCCCTGAACACACCCCCAGAGTGACGTCACTTCACTCACGTGTTCTTGTTTACACCTGCAGCGGTGCGCAACACTGAGTTTATATTCTTTTTACGGACAATCGGTTTGAGTCTGGATTAAAAGGACATTTATCAGTGCAGACTTGTGATGTGAGGAGGAGCCTGTGTGAGCGGTGAGTGTTGGAAATACATCGACTTTGAAGCTAGTTTAGGTTTTGTTAGCGGTTAGCTGCTGTAGCTCCCGCACATAAACAGGCTGTTTTCTATTGGCCTATTGTAAAGTGACTATATTGGCCGTATATTTGTTACTGAACCTGCATTGATATGTAAATGAGCTGTGAATAGACGTGTGAATGATCCACATTTATGCATATAATTAATTACCGCTGTGCGGACGGCTAAAGGCTAATAGCGGTAGTTTATTTACTAGCTAGTAGTGATGGGTCGGTCGCGATCGAAGCGGCTCTTAGAGCGAACAACGGGAGTATGTTTCTCATTGGGAGCCGTGTTTTCTCTTTTTCTCACTTTTTCTCTTCATGCCGCATGTAGACCCGTAGTAGTTTGACAGCAGCAGCGGCTGAAAACGAAACTTTCAGAAATCTGCTTGTGCATAGGATAAAAAAATAAATAAAAGTGCATATTTGGCTGCAGTTCAGCATAAAATGAATAAACCAGGACTAATCTTTGGCTCGAGTGAAGGAGAGAGATAGAAACCTAGTCCTGACACTCAGACCTGGTTAAGTTCTGATTTAGTCCTGTTTCACACATGGTTTAAATCTGTTTTAGTCCTGGTTTAGTCCTTTTTCAGTCCTGGTTCAGTTCTGGTTTAGTCCTGCTTGCAACAAAACAATCTCAAGAGTCGCTTGGGAGCCGAAAGAGCCAGCTGCTTTAGTGAGCCGAGCCAAAAGAGCCGGTTTTAAAAAAAAAAAACTGGAATACCCATCACTAGTAGCTAGAATGTGATGCAAAAATGCCATTAGGCCAATCTACTGTCTGTAAATATGATGTAAAGAGTCAGAACAACAATAAATGTTGCCTAAATAAACCCAATTTAGAATCCACTAGAGCCAAACCTAAGTTTTTTAAACAATTCAAGATTTACAGTGAATTTTTTCATCACTAAATATATCGGCGAATATATCGGCTATCGGCAGCTCCAACTCCCATTATATCCGTTTCATATCGGCCACAACAAAATCCATATCGGTCGGGCTCTAATTATAATATATAAATTATATTATTATTTTAGGTTCTTATGCAGTGCAGATTTTTTTAATGATGGTAATGAAACTGATACTGCTGCTACTTTTTGATACTGCAGGATACTGTAATACCGTATTACCGTCCAACCCTACCTCTTATACTTGTTCTGATACAGAGCCAGCTCATTCTAAAGCTGTTCAGGAAAGGTTCATTTCTGTCCTGTGTGCGCAATGTCCTGTAAGGAGAGTAAAGCCAAATGAAGTCAATGTGTTGTGTATTCTATGTCATTTGTACTTAGAATAGCTTATAATAGGTATTACAACAGCTTTTTCTTTTCACATTTTACCTGCGTCCAGGAGAAGTTTACAAAAAGACTCAAATACAAATGAACTGATAAAGTAATACAAGATCACATGTGTTTCTGAACATGTTTTTACAGATCTATACTACATGGTTAGCACCCAAACCAACACAATTTCGATAGACTTGATATTCAATACTGATTCTGATACCACAATGAAAATAAAAACGCACTTTATTTAGACAATAGAATGCGATTTTCAACTTAAAATTGTAGTACATTTTTTTATATTACCGTTTGGTCTTATATCATCCACGTAGGCGCCATCGTAGTCCATGGGCGCCTACGAGTCTCTGTGCTCTTATATTTGTTCTGATACAGTGTAAGATCATTCTAAAGCTGTTCAGGAAAGGTTCATTTCTATCCTGTGTGCCCAGTGTCCGGTAAGGCAAATAAAGCCAACTGAAGTCAATGTATTGTGTATTCTGTGTTGTTTAAGAAGTGCACAACTTATAATAGGAATTACAAAGGCTGGGTCAAATAACAGGTCAGATTTGTGGAGAGGCAACCGCACCCACTGTAAGAATGCATGCTTTTCACATATTTTGGAGGAAAAAACAAGCAAAAAACTGCTAGAATAAATACATTAATAATTGTGTGTATATACACTAGAGCCCAACCGATATATCGGTTGGCCGATATTATCGGCTGATATGGGCAACTTTAGGCATATCGGCTATCGGCCGATATGCTTGCTGATAGGGGCCGATATTTCACGTGGGCATGTTATACCTCGTTATAAAGCTTAGACTCTCTACATTCTGTTCATTTAATCCAATTTACAGACAGATAAATGTCCTAATATATGGCTCCACATCAGTATTTATCTACGGAGTCATTTGTCTGTGTGTCAGTTCCGTACTGTCCCAATATGAAATTTGCCCCTGTAACTGCTAGCCTCAGTGAGCTTTATTTTAGATTAATTTGACTGGAGTTGGACACTGTGGGTGACGTCACACTCCCTTAGTCTACTTCTAGTGCAGTTATTTGTCAGAGGACCTTATTTCGCTGTACATTTAATTTTTAGCTCAGTCACACAGGAGGAGCTTGGAGAAAAGCTGCTGCTCCTCCACATCGAGAGGAGTTCTGAATGCCTCCTGGGTGCCTCCCTTGGGTGTTCTGGGCATGTCCCACCCATAGACCGTATATATGGACGGACTTGGCTAATGTAATAGCCGCCACGTGCCAAATATGAAGTTCACCTGGAGGCTCTTCGGGCTCCTTCTGCCCCTGGCTCTAGTTGACTTACATTAGGATCTTGTCGCTCCTCTCTCTGTAACTGCAGCAGTGAGCCTCATCATTTTGGTCTTAAAATGTTTGTATTAACCCGCTCTACATGATCCTGAATTTTATTTTTGCTATTTTGTCCTTCAGAATAATCCTATTCATAATATAGAGCCTGGCTCCAGATTCGCTCCTCTAACTGTTAGCATTGCGAGCCTCATTTGAGCGGCGCTGAACTCTGTGGGTGACGTCACACTCACTTAGTCCACTTCTTTTATACAGTCTATGGTCCCACCAAAAGGAGGCCGTGGGAAAGACCCAGGCCACGCTGGATGGATTATGTCTCTCTGCTGGCCTGGGTACACCTCGGGGTCCCCCAGAGGAGCTGGATGAAATGTCCGGGGTGTGCTGCCCCTGTGACCCAGTCCCGGATAAGAAAATAGAAAATGGTTGGATTTAATTTTTAGATATTCTATTGGCATTATAAAATATTTTGGCAATAATTCAATGTGCAGCTTTGGTTTGTTCCATATGCCGCCACAGTAAATCCAGAACAACCAATGGAAGATAAGCTCTGCTGATATTTCTGGGCCAATATGTAGGACCGATTTAATATAAAATTATAGGAAACGCTCCTACAGTCCTTTTTTACCACAAACCTTCAGGGGAGTAGTGCAGTCATGTTTTGAGCAGTATTTGAGTAGCTTTATGTGTATAAATATCAACCTGTGCTGGAGATTTAAGGCTGACTGATTAAGGCTGATGTTCTGGTCTAAATGTTTCATCTTTATCTTTATGTGGTGTCCATAGGGTACCCACAGTGTCTGAAGACGTGGCCAGAGAAGCTTTAGTGAAGTTTGCTGAATCCAAATGGAGATACAGCGCCAAACCAGCCCGCAACCTCACCTTTAAAGATCTCAAAGCCTTCACTGTTTACAGGGTATATGAACATTCATTATAATAAAGATGAGATAAATTACATTAACTAAAATGTACTGTATAAATGATACGTTTTTTGTCTTCTCTTGTAGTACAGACTGGAGACCTACACAGAGACCAGAACCAGTGCCTGGAAATTTGAGGCGTATAGTGGTAAACGTCTACTTTCTGTATAGAGTTCATTGTTGGATTGTTTTCCCAACTTTAGTTCATTTTCAAAAACCTACCTGGGTTTGTGTTTTGTTTGTGCATATTTGAGTTACTCCTTTTGGCTATCTCCCTCAAAATGGAAATTGAAATACATTTTGTGGATAATCTAGAAGCTCTTGTTTTTGTGTTTAAGGTCTATACACCTTCACTGATCATTTTATTGTTAAGATTTCTAAACTAAACTCACTATTTAACCACTTTTAGCCTAATTAAAGAGCTGAATTCAAATCATTTTGTTTTATATACGCTTTCATGGGTGCTGAGCAGGTTGAAAAATGCTTAAAGAGCTCATATTATTATATTACTATTATTAATACAGGAAGTGCTCCACTGTGTTTTTGAACTCCATACATGCTCACATTCATCATGAATCATTTGGATAATTTCAACTCTGGACTTGCCAATCTCTTTTGAGTAAAAGGGAAATGGTAGCTGTTGACTTAAAAACTATAGTTTCATGACATCAAGGTGGAACAGAGAATTTTGAGCTTTGGAGATGTAGGCACACTAATAATACAAGGCAACTCAAACACCTAAGAATCAATTTTGTGTAATATAGGACCTTTTAATAGACTTTAGCATTCTGAAACAAAAGGGTATACATGCAGATCACAGTTCTTTTTGCTATTTTTTTTAAGTTTTAATCTTTGCTGACAGGACAGCCAGTGGATGGGCCTCAGTATGGTGTGAGTCCTCCTCCCTGGGACATCCCTGTGGCTCTACCTCAGAGGTTTACTGACCTGGTCGCCAAGGTCCGCGTGCCTCACTCCTCTTTTGTGAAGGTACTACTGTCTGCAGTGTTTCTTGTCACTTTGTTTGTCAATTTTTCAAACTTAACAATAAAAAACAAAAGCAAAGGGAGCAAAACAAAAGCCTGGATGACACTTGAACATTCTACTTTTGCATATCTACTATTAATGTCCATTATCCCCATTTTTTTTCTTAATTTGTGTCTCTTGCAATCTCAGTATATGAGTTATGTTTTCCTTTAGAGAGATGTCCTTTATTGCTGATGCCCACTGATCCTTTGAGTTCCTGGTTATTAATTTTTATTTATTTTTTTGGCATTGCATCCATTGTCATCTTCAGTCTCACATCCTGGTTGACAGTAAAAAAAACTGTTCAAACCCCTCTGTTGCTCAGTGGTGAGAGAGGCCACTCATATCGCTCCCCACTTCTCCCATAACTCCTTCATACCTTCACCATCAGGCAATCTGTCTATCTGTCTATCTCAACACTAAGTAATGCAGTGACACTTTGCACAATTTGTTTATTTCATTGCACTTTGGTCACCTTGTGTGCTGTAAAGGGCTCTATAAATAAAGTTTGATTAATTGATTGATAATTCCTCTTTCAGACCTGCCATACGTGCCATGGATGTGGAAGGACTCGCTGTGGACAATGCTTTGGGCGAGGCATGGTTGGTTTCTGTCAGAGCTTTTGAAAAATAAACGGTGTACTTCACGTATGTCATTTTTTGTTGAACTTTTTTGTTTGCATACCACATTTTTGTGATGTACATGTGTTACTAGGCAACAGTCAATCAAGATTAGGTTATACTAAAGATATTCTGTTTATTATTTTCCTTTTTGTTTTGGTCAGAAACGCTGCACTTTTTGCCACGGTCACGGTCGGTCCAGAAATAAGCGCTGTTCTTCTTGCGGAGGTCGAGGACGCAAAAGGTAATGCACATCCACATAGAACAGGTCTATCTGATAAAATTTTATAATTTGCTATTTTGCTATAAAGTACATACCGGTACATTTTTACTCAAAACTCAGTTGGTCTTGGTTTAGTCCAGAGTCAGCGCTTTTATTATTGAACCAGATTCTAGGGATGTGTAGCCTGCAGAATGTGCAGAAGTAAATATTATACAATGGAAAATATGTTTTGCAAACCTAGACAACTTTTTTTAGGATAAACATTTCACATTAATAAGTGCAAATATCAAATACATTGACATTTTGTGATGAACCCAGTGCTCGACGTAGCTGTAGTGTGGCAACAGTGACTCTACCAGTGCATACTGTTGTCTTGTCTTTAGGGAACTAACTTCACCCACCTCGTCTGTCTGTGTATCTGTGTGTCTGTCTGTGTCTGTCTTACATAAGTAGCTCATGCGTCCGAGCAGCTGCACTTTCCATAACAACATAATGAAATTATATCAGCTGTGGTCAGTTCAGATCTGCTCTAAACCTGTCCCTGTGTTTGCAGAGACTGTGGAGCAGAGGTTTTCTTCATTTACACATTAAATAACATGTGGGATAATTACTGTTTTGTGACTGGGCACAAACAATGAGAAATGCCACAATCATGAGATGAAATTTCTTGTCTAACTGAGTAAAAATATTTGAAGGCAAAACAACACCAGTGGGCACTTTATACTAGTATATAATATGGAATACTTTGAAAATGTATTTAGTCACAGAATATTGAATACCTGCATTAAAATGTGTTTTGTACTGTATACTGATACAATCAGGATACTGTATTCTAAATACTTTCATACATTGCACTTAAATTGTAGTGTAAAGACAAAATGTAGAATTAAAAACAGCTTTGTTTGTTTCACCGTTTTATGCATTTATTTATTTGACATCTAAATTGTTTGATCAAGTACCTCCATGTAGGGCTGTCACGGTTAAGGAATTTCTCCTGCAGTATAGCAGCTCAACATGGCGGTGTGGCACCGCACCCCCCATCCCCCTTTGTTACAATATTTCCAGCGGCACTGAAAACTCTCTTCGATGATGAGCTTGTTGCGCAGATGCACATTTACCTTGGTTGTCACGTGGATATACAGTCCCTGACAAAAGTCTTGTCGCTTATCCATTTTGTAGAAACAAAAGCTTATAACCTGACTTTAAATTAATCGATTGGTTTTAGCAATGTCTCATATGAAAGCTAAAACCCTCCCAAATTATGCTCAATATACTAAAATAAATTTGCTTCACTGAAGAAAGATTGATCATTTAATGAACACAGAAAGGTCAGATTTTGGCAAGACAAAAGTTTTGTCGCCTACAGAAAATTGAACAAATAATTTACTTCAAATACAAAAATATGTTGCATAACGTCAGTGAATTAAGTAGTGGTGCTGTGAGATCCATATTTAATATCTTGTATGACTTCCATGAGCTTGAAGGACTGCATCCATGCGGTTCGACAATGATTCATACAATTTGTTGATGAAGTCATCAGGAATAGCAAAGAAAGCGTCTTACATGCCTCCCAGAGTTCATCAAGATTCTTTGGTTTTGTCTTCCATCCTTCCTCTTTCATTCTACCCCAGACATGCTCCATGATGTTCATGTCTGGTGACTGGGCTGGCCAGTCCTGGAGCACCTTGATCTTCTTCGCCTTGAGAAACTCTGATGTCGAGATAGAAGTATGCGATGGAGCACAATTCTGCTGCAAAATTTGACCCCTTTTATGGTTGGGAATGTAAGAGGAGCTAATACTTCTTGATATTTTAGGCTATTGATATTGCCTTCCACCCTGCAAATGTCTTGCACACTCCCATGCTGGATGGAACCCCAGACCATGATTTTTCCGCCACCAAACTTAACTGTTTTCTGGGTGAATCTTGGATCCATGCAGGCTCCAGTAGGTCTCCTGCAATATTTGCGGTGGCTGTGATGTAATTCAACCGAGGATTCATCTGAGAAATCCACCTTCTGCCACTTTTCCAGTGTCCATCCTTTTTAGCAGGCTGTGGGCCTTGGCAAATGCCACATGGTTTTTTTAATTGCCTTTTGTTTGGTGCTGGTTTCTGTGCACTGATTCGACCATGGAGGCCATTTCGAGACAGAATTCTACAAACTGTTCTGGTTGACACAGGGACTTGAGGTGACCAGGCCTGGTGGAGCTCTGCTGCAGTGGAAAAGGGGCTGGCCTTGGATTTTCAAATCAACAAACGGTCCTCCTGAGCAGTTGTCTTGCGGCGTCTGCCGGACCTGGGCTTGTCAAAAACATCTCCAGTCATTTCAGATCTTTTTCTTATTCTTTGTACTTGACGCTGAGACACATTGAAGGTGTCACCACCTCAGCAGTGGATCTGGTCTTCAGCCTCTTGATAATTAACGCTTTGGTCTCAGGGTGGATCTTAGGCATGTTGTCAGAGGTCAAGTTGCAGTTGATGTGAAGGTCTGGTGTGCTGGGGTTCTTTTTATACACACCCACTAATTGACTGATCAGTAACTGATCACAGGTGAGGCTGTAATCTAGGATTGGGTGCATCATATGACAAGGCGACAGACTTTTGTCTTGCCAAAATCTGACCTTTCTGTGTTCATTAAATGATCAATCTTTCTTCAGTGAAGCAAATTTATTTTAGTTTATTGAGCATAATTTGGGAGGGTTTTAGCTTTCATATGAGACATTTCTAAAACCAATCGATTAATTTAAAGTCAGGTTATAAGCTTTTGTTTCTACAAAATGGATAAGCGACAAGACTTTTGTCAGGGACTGTAGTGTGTGGGAGAAGTAACATTTGGCTTTTGAACAAATGCCGCTGCATCTCTCCAGCTCTCGCTGTGGCAGCTCGGGTCAGAGTCCTGCACCAGGTCAGGTACCCGTGGACTTAAGAGAGAGAGAACCCTGAGCACATGGGTGCGGGCGGATGTGGGTCTCCAAAAATGGACCCGTGCAGGAGTCTGGGTCAGGTCACTTTGGTCACGTGCGGTGATCGCAGTGGCCCAACATGCGGTGGACCTCTTAGTACCGCGGTGATTCATTTTTGCGGTGGTTATCCCGACAGCCCTACTGCCATGTATTCTTTTGATTTAGAAAAGTAACTATTCTGAATACCACCAAATGAAAAAGTAACTGTACCAAAATACAGTTACTCAACATTGATATTCAGAATACATATTCTCGGTTCATGTATTCAGTCACTTCCCAACACTGATAACATAAAAATGTTGAGACTGTATATTATTTACAAATGTAATATACATACTCTTCAGCCCTGGTCTGGTATGTGCCATAATTTCTGGGTTTTCTTTGCAGGTGCATCTCGTGTCATGGTCACGGCTACAAAACCTGCTCAGTTTGTCATGGCAAACAGAACCTGATGCACTTCATTGAACTCACGATCACATGGTACAGTCCAATATTATCATACAGTTTAGTTTGCATGTTAAGTTTGTCACATGAATGTAAGTAAAGTCAAATGTAATAATTATTTGTCTATGAGCAGGAAAAACAACATAGATAACTTTATTCCCGACCGTCAACCTGAATTTCCGGACAAGAAGTTTGAGAAAGTGACTGGAGACCCTTTCTTTGTGGATGAGAGTGCACTGGTAAAGACATTTTGTATTTATAATCAATTTAGAGATATTAATTTGAAAGTTCTCCTGTAGTTTAGTCCCAAAAAACATTTTTCATCATGTGTTTAAAAAAAAACAAAAACTTAACTAATAATTCTGACTTGGAATTAGATACCAAAAATCATTCTGTATGTTTTGTAAAATTGTTAAGTGCAAGACTGTAAAGTTTGCTGTGTATAGGCACTACTTTAAGGGATGATCCTTCTCTGAAAGTGTAAACTTTGAAGTTATAATGTCCCATATACTGTAATTCTATGGATAAAAGTTGATTAAATTAAATATGAAAACATCTTTTGGTGCAGAGTGGACAATTTTGTTGTTACCACGTGAAATCTTACATGCAGGGGGACCAGTTTTGTAGTGTCTTGTCTTAAATGTACTTTTAGGTTACATGAACAATGAAAAATGAATCAAAATTAATGTAATTAACAGTCATTTGTTTTTCCAGGTTTATCCGATCCAAGGCTTCCCTGATCAGGAAATTTGTGAAGTCTCCAGAAAACTGATAACCGAACATTTTAACCGCTTCAGCACAACCAGCCGCATCCTCCAACAGGTACAGACTCAGACAAGACTAATCTTTTCTGTGTCCTGGAAAACATTAAAGAGCCCATATTAAACTATTTTCTGATCTAATTTGTAATGTTGTCCCCTCATCATAAACATACTTGGAGTTGTGTTTTGTTTCATTCACACATGTTTATACTAAAAGCTCACAAGAGTTATTTTTGCGTAATACAGGACCTTTAATATCCAGTGATTGCTTTATCTGATACTGGCTTTTGTTTAGCACAGCTAGTACATCACCTTATAACACAATATAACTTGATTATGTAATTGTAAACATGTAAATCAATTTATTTCACTGCAGGTACTTTATTTCAAACAAGATTTTTAAAAATAAATTCTTACATTTTTAAGTTTTTGTCTGTTTCAGCGTCAGACGATCGAGATGGTGCCTCTCACTCACGCTCACTACACCTACAACGGCAAAGACTTTGATTTCTTCATTTACGGAGTGGAAAACCAAGTCCACGCTGCCAAATACCCCTCTGCATGTACTATTTTATAACAAATATACTCTAATATTACATTATCCTTATATAGAAAGACTAGGAATAAACTTTATGCAATGTTTTAACTTTCCAAACATTGAAAACACTCCTATATGAACATACTTATTATCTGTTGTTCATTGTGTAGATTTGACCTCTATGGCCACTGGTGCCTTGAATATGTTGAAGTAGCAAAATGTAATTCTCTTTCTGTTTTCATACAAAATAGAATTTAATTTTAACTACAAGTAGGTATGAATGATCACATCACACAACTTTTCAAACCTTGGTAACAGTTCTTACAAGATTACCACTATTCCAGTCATGGACCACTATCTACTACAACCACAACAACCACTATTACTACTATGAAATGAAATAGTAAATATATATGTATCTTAAGTATAACGTGATTGTAATATTGCAATTGCCTTTTGGTGTCCAGAAAGGTGAATTTATATGTAAAATGTAGCCAGTGACCTTTTTCTTTTTTTTTTTTTACAAATCACTTCTTTTCAAAACCAATGTAGCTACCTTCTTCAGACTGGTGTCGAGTGATGCAACAATTAATGCAATATTGTGTGTAAGGTATCTTTAAAACTTATGGACAATGTGTACATATATATATACATACACACACACACACACACATATATATATATATATATATATATATATAAATAATCAAACATTTCAGTATTCTAATGTTTTACTACAGTTTTTATCAGATTTCTCTATGCTAACAATTTTGTAATCATTTATTTTTCGAAGTGCACTTTTGTAAAATGTTTGTGTATCATTTTTAAGCTAGATATATGCATTTTTTTAAAAGGCTATAATGTTTTATGTTTTATCTAAATACCTCTATCATTTCAACAGTATATTAGGGTCCAGGTTCATTGTACAACTACTCAAATACTATGTACTTCATATTAAACTACTCAAGCACATTCATAATGTTATGGCTGTCTGTTTTTCTATAAGACTTATCCTGTGTCTATCTTTTACAAAAAGAGATAAATAACACTAAGTGTCTTGCCTAGAGACACAAGATTAATAGGCCTATGCACTTTAGGTTTAAACCAGCAACCCTTTGGACTTTAAGCCAATGGGAAATATACAAAATACATAATAATTTGTCACTAAGTGAATTTTGGTGATTTTTAAAAATATTCATTGCTGAAAACTAAAAAAGTGGACTATATTACGCTATTTTCTGATCTATGTTATAAATTTTCCTCATCACAAACATACCTGGAGTTGTGTTTTGCTTCATTCACACGTTTAACACACAAACCCTGCCTCAATCAAACATGTGCTTTATAGAGTTCTCCACAAGAGGGAGCTGTGATAAAACCAACATCATGACTTTGGCGCGCAAAACCATAGATCCATGGGAAAAACCTGGAACCTTTTCTACCTTTCCCCCAATGAAGAGATGGACACAAGGATTTTCACAGAGGTAAACGTAAAAATACCCGTAAAACACAGGTAATTTAATAATATAACTACATTTTTATAACCTAAAATTGATGAACTCTGTTGATTTGAAGATAAAACTTGCAGGAATCGATTTAAATTATTGTTTGGGTAGTATGTTGGCCTATTTTGGGCTTTATAAAATAATAAAGGGTGACCACGAGTTTAATTTTGGTTGTCCACGATTGTCCTAGTTAAATAATGTCCCACTTTCTAACGTGACACTCAAATAGTAAAAAGATATTACATTTACGCATACAACAAGAACATATATTTTCCTTGCGTAGAATTAACACTTTTTGATTACTTTAATGATATGATCTGTTGCTATTCTAATCACTTATCACTGAGTTTTGAGGCATAACATTGAAAATCAGGCCAAAACTTTATTATAAGATTATTTCCCGAGCCCTGAGTCCATCCCTCCATGTCACCATTTACGCACCTTACCCCACTTTTACCATCTGAGTTAGTTACCCTGTAAAATAATATTTAAATCAAACTAAATGTACTTTTATACCTTTGTTGACTACTTTTTATAGTTACAGGGGGAATCCGTGCAGAGGGGCAGTGTAGGGCAGAGGAAGGAGTGGCTGGCTGCGTCTTGGCTGGCTCACCGTCTTTACGCACATGTGGAGTGTTTATATCGAAGAGGAGAAGTTCAGGTGACGTCTCGGATCGTGAACGGAGCTACTGGCAAACTGTCCGCTACTGTCTACGGTCCAGACCCCGGAGGAAAATCACAGAATCTACGGACGCGAGAAGACAGCTTTTGGTGAGTTTAGAAGCGATTTGTTCGCTATATTTGGCTCGTTTGGCTCGTGCGCTCCCGTGCGTCTGTTAGTTTATCCATGTGGATGATATGGCTAAGTGGAGTTTTGGCACCAGCTGGGGGAATGAAATATTATCTGAACATATTTAGTGCATCTTGACGCTTTGCTCTGGGTCTTAATAAAATAATCCTATCTACTCTAAACTATATATTCAAGTAGCACGTTTTGAAGTTTGTTTCTTCTTGTTAATTTTATTGTAGACATTATTCCTTCCAGTTTTTCTGAGTCATATGGCAATCATGCATATTGGGAAACCAGACCAAAACATTTCAAATTATCAGAATACATGAGCAAACTGTGCATGTTGTTTCATTGAAAGCCCTAGCCTTTCTGTCTCCCATCTTTAATCTTAATTTTGATGCTGTTTTGTTCAATATATGTTACTGATGTTCAAAGTGTTTATCTTTATCTGTCATAATATTGCTGTTTTCTACATTTTAAAGCTGCTAGTTCCAGTACATGTGCTTGTATATTTCAATGACTTTTCTTTAAATAATACATTATTTAATGACCTATCCCATTGATGAGATTGTACCTTATTATTTGGATGGCTCCTCATTACTTATAGTTATAATAGATTTATTCAAGATTGACATGATTGGAGACAATATTACAATGCAAATCCAAATTACATGTCAATCACAACATTAGAAACATATTAAAACACTACTAACAACTCTTAAATAGACAGAAATGTAAAATAGTAGAAAAGTAGGGCTGCAACCATAGACTGTATATAAAAAGTCATGGCTTTATATATGGCTGGAACTAACAATGATTTCATTAGTCAACTAGTCAAGTAATTATTTCTATTCTATTCCTATTTTAATTGGATAAACATAAAAAATATTTTTAGGGTCACCAATTACATTTACAAATGTCACGATTATTCCAATTTATCATAGCTGCCCAAATCAAATGTAAAGTGTGTAAAGCAATCTGAGAATAAGACCTTGTATGAGCTTGGTAATAAATAATACACAATTTATATTTCTAGTTTTACTCTTTGCTAAAAACTGTCTTTGTTTAGTAATATTACTTTGTAGTAACAATACTCTCAACTCCACAATCCTCTGGTCTGAACAAACCTCCCCTGATTGTCCTGGTCCTTTCCTGTTTTGGAGCACCCCTCTGTTCTCTGTCCCATCTGTGAGACCTGCTTCCTGTCCCGTGTGAGACCCATACGTGCTGCTGCTGCTTTTCCTGTACCATTGTGTGTCACTGTGTGTCATTGTAACGGTAGCAGCAGAAGAAAGACAGGTGTATAGAGTGCCCAAATACTCGATTAGGAGTATTGTAGGGCTGGGACATTAATGGTGCACTGCGTAACTTTTCTAATGGAGGGTCCGCCACCTGCTTGCCTCCATGGACATGCTACTGCTTTGTCTAGAATGATCCACACTACAGCTTAAAGGTCCTATATTCTAAACAAAAGGTAAAAGGTCGGTGTTGAACTTGAAAAATACCACTTCATGACATCACAAGGTGGGCCAGAACATTTTGAGCTTTGGAGGTGTAGACAGACAAGTAATAAAATGTTACTCTAACATGTGTGAATGAAACAAAACACAACTCCAGGTATGTTTTTCACATTTTAAGCCCCTTTACGCGAATAATGTTTTGGATGTTGTCTTTGCCACCTGCCACGGATGCTTTTTGTTTGCATGAGGAAAAAGCAATGCAAAAATAGCAGACCTACAATGAGCCACATGTTTCGTAATGTGTTTTAACAGCACTTAGATAAATAAGGAAATAAACAGTGTTAATGCTTCCTCCGGGGATGTGGGCTCCTGCTGTGGCCATTGAATATAATTGACTAGATCCTGCCATGGCTGTGAAGGCTGCCACATGGGGCTTATCACCAGCTGTGGAGTGAGGGGAGAGAGAAAACGAAACATTAAAGGTGCACTGTGCAACTTTCCTGGAGGTTGGTCCTCACCTGCTTGTTTGTCATGATGTTATTGCTTTGTTCAAAATATTCCACAGTACGACACTAAACATATCCATCTTGTAATCAAATAAAGTTAAATATCTTAACAAGCCACAGCGGCTTGTCAAAGCCTAATCTCGTCTAATCTCAAAAGCTAAGCTAAACTAAGACTTTGAGAGACCGCTAGGAACATCAGGTGCCACAGTGCGGCGCTAGTGGCAAAAACTGTTGATGTGTCTTTAGGCAAAGCACTTTACCAACATTGCCTATTATGAAAGTTGTGTGTGTGTGTGAGTGATGGTGATTGGAGGGGTCAATGACGCAGATTGGCAGCCTCGCTTCTGTTAGTCTGCCCCAGGGCAGCTGTGGCTGCAATAGTATTTTACCACCACTGAGTGTGGAGTGAATGACTAATTCTCTGTAAAGTGTCTTTGAGTGTCCAAAACGCGCTATATAAAATCCTGATCCATTATACATTCTTGCTATGAGTGTGGCCATCTCTCCATAGATCTGGCATGTAACTTAGCTTGGTGGTGTCACATGGATGTTTTATGGAAGTGGACAAACCTAATACCACATTGTGGGAGAATCCAGGCAATGCAATAACTCCTCCATGGTGACAAGCATTGAGCGGACCCTCCACCAAAAACGTTACACGGTGCACCTTAAAAAAAAAAAAAAAAGTTCGAAGGAGTGTTTAGTTACATTCACACATGCTTAACACATAATCCTGAATATTTAGTAGTTCTTCTCTTAGACAGAAAGCACTCTGTTCCACCTTGTGATGTCATGTGATAATACAAGAAGTGCTTCACTGGGTTTTTAAACTCCATGCAGCCTCACTATTTTGTTCAGTAAATATTTCCAATATTTATTGAACAAAAAGGTAAAAGGTAGCTGTTAACTTGAAAAAAATAAACAATATGGAACAGAGCATTTTGAGCTTTGGAGATTTCAACAGACTAATAATAAAGGATTACTCAAACGTGTGAATAAAACAAAACACAAGTCCAGGTATGTTTTTGATGAAATAGCAACATTACATGGCTTAAAGTTCACAACAGTCAGTTTTGCATAAAATAGGACCTTTAGTATTGAACTGGAGTTGTAACAGCCTGAACTTTAGTCAAGACTGAGCAGTCGAGCATTTATTCAGGTATTTGGTGATTAGCATTATTTAGCATTTTGTTCATTGCATTCAAACCACATTAGAGACCTGAAGCAATTTAACAATAGAACTGGGGCCTTTAACTTGGTTGAAAACTGCAGGGCTGATTCTTGACCACCCCTGATGCCATGACCACAAAAGCCTCTTCCCCTTTGGCACGGTTCACTTTGGGTCGTCTTGGCACGGATCTGTTCAGTGCAAGTCCTTCCACTTGAGTTGGGTTTCCATGCCCCGAGCACGACCGCAGATCAGGCACAGAGCTCTACTACATGAGCAACTCATGTCACCTCAAGTCACAATCTAAATCTGAAATCTGAATTATGTTTTTATCTTAAAGGTGCATTATGTAACTTTTGGATTTGTCTTTGCTCTGCCTGGAATATGCCACAGTATAAAAACACAGCTCTGCCTTACATTTATTGTTTATGGTTTTATAGCTCAAAAATAACAACAGAAACATGCATTCTGACTGTGAGCGGGGTTGGCTGTCCACAGATCTGTAACTTGTCTGGTTTGGTCTCCACACCAAAATGTTTTAGGGTATTTTTGAGCTCTAAAACACCTCTAATTGAACAAATGCAAGGGAGATATCTTTAATATCCTACTCTGGAACATTCCGGACACAAAACTAATATCTGCATGGTTACAAGCAAGTAGCAGACCCTCCACCTTAGAATTTACACAGTGCAGCTTTATGGAGATGCTGTTATTCTCTGCACTGGTATCGGTTAATATCGAATATCGGCAACTTAAACTTGTACTAAACTTGTAAACTTAAAGTTGTATTATCACAATCTTTATCAGAACTGAAAAAGCTGGATCAGTGCATCACCGTGTTCCTCCACAGATTAATAAAAACCAACAAACAACAAACAAATGCTTGTATTAAAGGTGCACTGTGTAACTAGAGGATTTGAAACCTGCTTGAGTCCATGTCTTTTTTCTTGACATGCTGTACAGTATGGTATTTAATTTAACTATTTATTTATTTATTTGATTGTGACAGAGCATGTTAATGGACAAACATGACACAACATGAATGTAAACACACCAGATTGTGACCTAAGGGCGAGGATCGTAGGGGGTCAGACAATAAAATATTGCACACTCCATTCATTACACAGTCCCCATTATTGCACACTTCACTCATTACACAGTTCGCATCATTGCACACTCCACTTATTGCTTAGTTCCCATTATTGCACACTCCACTCTTTACACAATTACCATTACTGTACACTCCATTCATTACACAGTCCCCATTATTGCACACTCCATTCAGTGCACATTTCCCATTATTGCACACTCCACTCATTACACAGTTCCCATCATTACACAGTCCAAAGTATTACACAGTGCAGTCATTGCGCAATTCCCATTATTACTATCTCCATGGAGACAAGCAGGCCGCATCACCATTCCACGTTACAGGTCAGATCTGTAGAGACGTGGCCCCGCTCATGTTTATTAAGAGATGTTTTTGCAGTAGTTTTGAAATATAAAAACACCTGCAATTAAATAAATACAAGATATATTGTTTAATGCCAAGCAAAGCAATAACATCGTCATGGAGACGAGCAGATGGCGGACCCTCCATCAGAAAGGTTACACAGTGCACCGTTAATATTCAGCATTCTGTAACTGAAAATAATCCCACCTTTACAAAAACTTAAGTTGAAGTCTCACAAAATAGCCTATATTTTTCCATGCATAATAACGTGATAATGATCTGAAGTGCGCGCCCGCTTTTGCCTGAATTTGTTATGGTCACATCACTCACACACAAACGTCCACCATCAGCGCTTGTGCAGATAGGAGTTCTTATCTGATGGCCGAGCTCCAAT